AACTTTAGAAAGTACAAACTGTAGGTTAGAGCACTGGCAACTTCACTGAGTAGAATTAACAAAGTTAACGGCTGGAACTTAGAGTTATACCCAAACTTCAGACAGACTTGCTGGAGAGGCTTATTTACGCATCAGAACTTCAGTGACATTGTGTTTATGTGTGCGGTGCTGGGAATGGACCCAGGGCCTGGCGCATGCTCAGCCAGCACTTACCTACCACTGAGCTACACTGTCTGCTGTTAAATATTCTTTTAAAAAAATTAGTAATTGTATTTTCTAGAGCTTGTTGTAATCAGAATATGTTGCCTGTATAGTCTTAAAAGTTCAGTTTGAATTTTTAACTAACTTTAATTATGTATTAGTATATAAATCGTCTCAATTTTTCTAAGATTCCACCATATTGATTTTGTGTAAAGAGTTATAGCTCATGGTATTTCAAAAGTAAGCTAGCACCAAAGCATGAAGGCAATCATTTGTAACCTGCTTTACCTATTTATTTTTGGTAAAACCTTTTTTCATAAATAATTATTTCTCTCCAGCAGGTCCAAGGCTAGCAACTTTCTCAATCTTATTTGTGTGCCTAATTCCTATAAAAATTATTGTCATATGATAAAACTGATAAATGTTAAATGTGTCAAATTATCTCAGTCCTAAATACATAGAAATTAATAAACTTTGACTACATGAGAAGTCCTTTATGTTGATATTTTATCTAAGATTACAAGTTGCCTTACTGTTGATCAGACTGAGAAGCCATTAAATTTCCCATTCAGAAATTTTCAACAACGTGTAACCTATCAATCAGTCTATTAAACTACTGGACGTTAGAATACAACTAGGTTTAATCTCATGAAATTAACCTGAAATAGAGAAAAAAAACCATGACATGCATGAATTTTCATCTTGCATTGCAAGTTATAAAGCACTGTTAAAGTCTTTTCAGGAGAAGTCAGCAGGGAATCAAGTTTCTCAATATACTCAAGAAGATACAATTAAGTATGGACAAGTTCTCCAGAGACCTTTTAGTAGATAAATGTTGGAATCAGACACATGTCCAACCTGCAGGTTTTATGAACTTAATCATTAAGATCTTAATGAAGAAAAAGTCAACCAAAAGAGGTACTTAGGGCTGAGGCTGCAGCTCAGGGGTAGAGTGTTTGCACGGTAGCATCAGTGCTTGGGCTGTATCCTCAGCATGACCCCCCCAAAAAAGAAAGAAAATGAAGCCGTTGGACGTTTCAGACCTCGGGGTTTCCAGGGGAGACTAAGGAAAGGGAATATTCTAGCCAGACCTCAGGAAAGGACCGCAGTCGCTGCTCTGGTTCCTCATGCCCGCTATTAGTTTCTTCTTCATTCGAATCATAACTGACAAATTTAACTCCTATCAACATGTTACACACTCCTCTCTCGAACATTTAAATACTATTTAGTTTAAATATAGTTTTGTCTACCTTTGCAAAGTTAAAAACTATAATTTCAAAATTGGAAAATATGTTTTGAAAAGAAAAAGCAATATACAACTATGTCTTTAATATGCAAAAATAAAAATGTTTTAACATAAAATATTAAAAACTACATAGGTCTACATTAGCACATGAAAGCTAGATTTGGAATGAATGTTTTGTATAAATTCTTTTTTTTTTCTTTCGAGACAAGGTTTCTCTGTAGCTTTGTAGCCTGTCCTGGAACTAGCTCTTGTAGACAAGGTTGGCCTCGAACTCACACAGATCCACCTGCCTCTGCCTCCCAAGTGTTGGGATTAAAGGCATGTGCTACCCCCGCCTGGCAAATGTTTTGTATGAATTCTTTTAAAAATAAAAAAGAAATAATAACTTGGTCACATTGCATCCCTTATTTCTGCCTTGGAATAGAAAATATTATAACACAGTGTCCATAATCCTATTACTTTCTATTCTTATATTTCAAAATTCATCTTTGAAAGGGGGCCAAAAAAGATGTTAATAGACAGCTAATAATCATAGATTAAGGCAGATACCCAGGGAATAATAATATTAGCATTTTTGTCTATTAAAAACAGCAGCCCGTGACGATCAACCAGTGAGTGCTGTTGAGTACCACAGTGTGTGAGAAGTGACTGGGAGATGCTAGCCCAATGCTGCCTGGCAAGCAATGCTCACTCAGCAGTGCCCTAGACAGTGCCTTCAGAGCAGACCAAGATGCCTAGAGACACTATAAAGAAGGCCAAGGACAATCGTGGGGCATTTGATTTTGAAAATGTAAGAAATGGATTTCCCTCTAAGAACAAAAGCACCACGCTGGGCTCAGCACCATTTGTGAAGGTTTGTGAAGATAGTCCTGTCCTTGGGTTTCTCACTGTGGTTGAAGCCTTCTTTCCACAATGGCTTATTGTGCACATTCAAAACCCCCAGTCCTCAAATTCCAAGTGGCAGGTGCTTTTAAGCACAGGAGAAGGAACATTCCTCACTGCTCTTACTACAGTCTGCTCTTCCAGCCTCCTCTGATAGTGTTAGTCATCTTGACAATAGAAAATCATCAAGACAATGCAATGATTTTACAAAGAGGAAGAATGACAGTTTCCCTTCTACTTTTCAAAAAATGTTTTACAATACGTCGTGAGATTAGCTCTGCTGAATAGCGGAAGGGAAATCAGTTCTTGTGGAGTGACATTCTACAATAAAGAACACCTACACTTCGGCAACACTCTCATCCACAGGTGCTCAGTGCTGTCATTACTACCGTTCGGATCTGTCCCAGAATCACTTCTGACAAAGAAAATATAGCTTTGTTTAGAGTAAAGTGGCAACGTCAGTCAAACAAGGACTGAAGCATGAAGGGCTGTGCTTTTTTTTTTTTTTTTTTATTTCCACTTCGGTAGCTCTGTTATTTCTTGCCTTTGCTAGTGAGTCTGGATGCCAACCAATCAGTGTCTCATTTACCTGATCAATGTTTACTATGGCCCTACTATGCAGCAGTGTTGCCTTTGGTGCTAATGCAAGTTGACTTCAGCTGGGCAGTGGTGGCGGCACATCATTAATCCCACCACCTGGGAGGCAGAGTTAGGTGGATCTCTTGAGTTTGAGGCTAGCCTGGTCTACAAGAGCTAGTTCGAGGACAATTAGGACTGTTACACAGAGAAACCTGTCTCGAAGGAAATCAAACAAACAAACAAAAAAAACCCAAAAAAACAAAAACCATGGTATAGATACATCTAAACAATAAATAAATACAGAATTCTATATTATGGATACAATGAAAGAGTAATACTGGCTACCAATACACAAAAGCAGGAAAATGAATTTAGATTGACACTTCTCAGTAGATGATGAGCTATTAAGGATATTAAGAAATTTGCCAGAAGAAAGCTAGGAAAGACCACTTCAGAAGGCATGGCTTGTAAAAAAGTTCTTGGGCATCACATTCCAAAATCCAAACAAAGCCATAGGCCCAGATGCCAGTAGGCATGAAAAGCAGCGGGTAAGCCTGTGGTCAAGCGTGGGACTGACGATTTTCTCCCGACAGCACAGGCAAGTTACTGATGGAGATGAAGCAGAAGGTGGAAACACTGCTTCCTGATAAACCGTGTCTACTGCCTGAAGACAGAATGCGCGGAGAATTTCAAAACCCAAACTCTCTACTGGTTTTCCAACCCTTCTGTAAAAAAGAACCTCTCACGCCTCCCACTTTCTTCCCCATCAGCAGAACCAAGTTCACAGCACAAATAACCATTCTGACACGGCTTTCCCACCTCAGTGCCTGGTCCTGCACCTTTACAGTTAAATGCATAAGAGAAGGGCTGGGGAGATGCATTAGCATTTAAGAGTACTTGTAGCCACATAGCAGCTCAAACAATCTACAACTCCTGTTCCAGGGGATCAGATGCCCTCTCTGGTCTCCACAGACACCAGGTATCCACATGGCACACACATATGCATACAAGCTAAGCACTCATACACATAACAAAGATAAATAAATCTTTTAACAGGAAATCTTTTAAAAGAAATCAGCAATGTGAAAGGCAATCCAATTCTTAATCCAGTTTCCCAGGAAGGCCTCCTCCTTCTAGAAATCCTGTGTCACTCAAGATGAAATTCTGATGAGCAAGAAGGAAGCCCTGGCAAGGAAGTGACATTGGCTACAACTGCTACGTTTCAGGGTTAGCTGTCTGACTTCTCTGCAAGCCTACAGACACATGCCTGAGTCCTAGGCTGCACACCATTAGTGAAGAACACATCCCGTCTATATTTTTAAACACACAGAATTTGATATAAAAGAAACTTACAAATACTATAAAAACTTATTTGCACAGCACAAACAAACCAAAGTTGTAACTAGCTGATTTGTCTGTTCTCTCCCCTTTAGTATCTCCTTATTGTGCACAAAGGCATAAATATGTGTTATGTAAAAAAAAAAAAAAAAAAAAAAAAAAAAAAAAACCACAGGAAAACCTATATATTTCAAGAATAAAGATCAAGTCAGATCCCTGAAAGCTAAATCAGATTTATATAAAGTTATTCTCCTCGACTGTCCTAGCCATGGGCCATAGGTCTCCGTAGGCAGCAACTATATTAACATAGACATAGTCCCCACTCTCATCTGTTAGCTGCGCTGTACCTACTTCCAGAAGGAATGACAGCTTCCTTTAAGCGGAATTCCCAGTATCTCACACTGCCGGCTGCCTGGTTTGCTCCTCTCTACATGCTCACAGAGAGCTCAATGGGAGCTCATTGAGTCTGAACTTGCCGCTCTGCTGAGATTCTACCATATAGTGTAGATGGGCCCAAGTGAGTTGCATACAGAGTCATGGCCTATGAAAGACCATTTCATCCAAAAATGAGATATAATAAAACGGGATTTTTGTAACTTTGGTAACATTTGACCACTTTCATAAAATTATCTTAAAAATAATTTTAGTGAAATTATTTCAAGCATAGTCCATACTGACACTTCAGGAAATGGTGACTAAGTAAAATAGGCTATATTACATAGACTGATGCCCTCGAAGGCATCTTCTTACCCACCTTGGTCTCTTTCATGCCATGTTCGACTTCCAGCAGCTGGTGAATTTGGAGAGGGGTAAAAGTCTCCTGTAGGACTTGGCTCCATATTTTCATCTATGGATATAGTTTTGGGTCTTTTGCTGTTAAAATAGAATGATAATGGCATTAATAATATTCCTGAAAAGATGAGTAGCATTTACATGCGTGCGCGCGCGCGCACACACACACAAACACACACACACACACACACACACGGCTTCCAGTGTGGCTGTGGTGACGCACGCCTTTAATCCCAACACCCGGAAGGCAGAGGCAGGTGGATCTCTGTGAGTTTGAGGTCAGCCTGGTCTATAGAACTAGCTCCAAGACAGGCTCCAAAGCTACTGAGAAACCCTGCCTCAAAAAAAAAAAAAAAACCCAAATAGAAAAAAAAAAACTTCCATAAATCATAGTTGAAGTGATAGTTTGAAAGAATGGTGAGCATTCAAGACATCCATAGGAATAGTGAACATTTCAGTTCACTATATATATACACAATACACACACACACACACACACACACACACACTACCTATTCTTATATTTACCATCTATCCCTACCTAATAAAAAATGTTTGGTATGATTACATTTTCAGGTTTCTTTCAGAGAAACTTCAGTTACTACAAGTGAACTCTCAACGTGTCTTTTCTCCTAACACTGAAACTTTTTCAAGGTGCACTGAGTCATCTTATGTTTCTGATATTAATACTGCTAACAGCATTAGCCACAGACAAGACAATGCTTTACTGTTAACTGGGGAATGAGGCAACGGAAGTGGGCAGTAAAACAGGTCCAGAAAGCCCTCATTTTGACCAAGTCATTTATTAGATCCAATAGCAGGTTCCTCAACCTTTCTAAACTCAGCTAATCACCTGTAAGGTGGAAATAATAAAGCCCAGTTTAAAAAGTTTGGATGAGAAGATGAAGTGAGTTAATAACCATAAAGCTCTCAGCTAAATGGCTTGCAGCTTGAAGATACTCATTAAGTATTAATTATTAGTGTTGACCTTGTAATTAATAGCATGAAGACCGTTTCTAGAACTTTACTAGTTGTGAGTATTCCATGTTTTTACCTTTTTTTTTTTAGAGAAATTAGCTTACTAGTTCTTTATTCATAAGATCAACCTGAAAAATGATTATTGCCCAATCAAATGGTATGTGTTTAGGAAATACTTTGAGTGGAAAAACACGACCTACTTATTACACAGAAAAGTGGGTACCTACAGCGAAGAATAAAAGCTGTTTTATGACATGAATGATCCTTTTGGGTCCTCTGCTTTGGTACGCTCCAACCAGTACCCCAGTAAACATCTCATTACTGACTCTGGAATGAAGACTCTGTCTTTTACTTAAAGAAGTCTCACTTAAACCTATGTTCTTAAGAGACAACCACAAAATATCACCTGAATTAATTTTATGCGCTGTTAATAAATGTAATGTCACCAAGGTTTGTGACTGTAGATTATCTAAAAAAATTGCATGCAAACCTTAAGTTCCCATTTTTAATAAACAGGGGAACAAATCTGGAGAAATGCGGTGAATTTGCCCAGGACAAGTGAACAGAAGGGGCCGCACCAGGAGGAGGTCTCCCAGCCAGGGGGCTCCATGCCTAAACCCTGAAGCCTGAGCGCATCTCGTTTATTTGTAGTTAGAGCGTGGTTAATTGTGGCCTGACCATCCCCGGAGGACTGACATGATTGAACATGACAACTTCTCCCCATGCTAACGCTTGGCAGAAATGATACCATTGCTTTCGTCTCTACCCAAAACTATCCAAATGGAGAGCTTATGCATATTTTTTAAGTTCTCCCGTTAAAGTAATTCTCTTCCACTATGAGTCAGCAGCAGCATGAAAAAAAATGGAGGAAAATTTATTTCTACAAGGAGCAACAGAGAAATGTCTTTAAGCTCTGCTTATAGTGAAGGACAAAGGTCAGCCAGGATGAAAGACCTGTGCTGACAACATATGGATCCAAAGGAGGAAATTTAAAAATCATAATTCACATTCTAAATTTAGAAAAATTAAAGCACTTTTAAGAGATAATCTCAGTGATAATAAACCCAATTATCTTGATATACAATCTAATTATATGAAAATACAGTTGGGTCATCAATGTTATAAAATCGACCTTACTTTATAAACACAAATATGGATATTCTCACAACTATCCAAAGACAATTAGCTTCCATTACTGAAAAGAATCTAGAAAAATATTTTCCCAGATTGTCTTTTATTCTTAAAAATTAGCATAAGGCATGCTTGTTTTTTGGAATCCATGTACATTACGCTCGCCTGTGGCTGTATTGAATGCTTTGGAAATGAGACAGGTCTTCATACATGAAGGACACAGCTTACAGGGAAACACCCCACATCTGTAATGGCTATCTTGAATGACAGTTACAAGGGTAGGAGAGGAGGAAAACACTGGCTAAGCCAGTCTCAGAGCAGCTGAGGCTTTCATGGGTACCAGAAGAGCTAGCTGATTTAGTCAGAAAATCTCAATCAAATGAACGTTGCAGTTTCAAATCAGCTTTATCTTTATGGCTAGGGGAATGACACTGTTTTCATCTTCCATTATCTCAAGCGCAGATGTGGCATCACAGTGAAGTTGCCAGGATGCATTGGCTAAGGGCGAGGCCTCGCGGCAGCAGTATCACCTACATGTTATTTTTTTTTCATTTATTTATGTGTATGAATGTTTTGCCTATATGTGTACCATGTGCACGCCTGGTGTCCGTGGAAGTCAGCAAATGGTGTATTCCCTGGAACTGGAGTTTCCACAGGGCTGCGAGCCACCATATGGGTTCTGGGAGTGAAACCCAGGTCCTCTGTAAGGGCAACCAGTGCTCTTGGCTACTGAGCCATCTTTCTAACTCCCAGTATCACTTTTAAAGGTGCCAAGATTAGGATGCAGAATTATATTTCATATCAAAAGACAAACTCTCTTTAATATCTTTTCATGGTTCATCTCCAACCCCTCCCTCAGAGACTTTTAAGGTGCTCTGAACAGCAATTACATTCAATATGCATATTAAAACAATATGACTAACAAAACAAATGAACAAAGCCTGTGGATTGTCAGTAGGCAGGTGTCTCCCCTTTCCCGCCTGACTGTCTACATAAAGGGTGAGAGCACACGCAGCACCACCATTACCTGCTCGGTGGAGAAGACAGCGACCTCTGCAGGTTCACACCAGAATTCATGTCGTGATAGTATGGCTGGCTGGGGATTTCTCCGATTGGGAAGTTGACTCCAGTTCCCTGGGTTATGGGTGCTGAGGAATAAATTTTTTTTAAAAGAAATGTTGTAAGTGTTTATTCATGATTATCTCCGTTCAGATATAAAATCACTAATTTTTTTTTTCATGGCTCTGGGCAAGAGCTCTCCTTATCTGCAGATGCGCTATTCCTTGTATGCGGCAGGTAAAACCCAAAATCCTCTAGTCAAGTTTGGCTATTCTGCACATTCACACTAGATCCCTGGCTACCACTCCCCCTCCTCACACTACCCAATCTTCTTTATTTGCTCCCCCATATTAGAAATCACTACATCATCTGTCATTCCCCAGCTTATAGACATAGGCAGAGCAGAACAAATGATTCTTATCACCTAAAACCAAATGATATGCTTGGTACTGAACTAAACCATCATTACATATGCATATATACATATATATATATATATTTCATAAATAAAGATTCAAGATATCCTATATTAGTTCTAACAACAGCATTAGGATGAAATAAAAACCATGATGGTTACAAGTTCTGGTGGCATACACCTGTAATCCCAGCACTAGGGAGGCTAAGGCAGAAAAATAGAGAAGTCAAGGTGAAGCTGGACTATGAAGCAAGTCTGAGGCCAGTCTGATAATGCAGTGAGACCCTGTCTCAAACAAAACCATAATATGTATAATTTGATTTAAGCAAATCTAGAGTTAGGGCAGGAATGAATAAAACTTATGAATATGAAATAAAACTCTAAGTGTTTTGCAATCCACCTTTAGGAAGGTTTTATAAATGACTTCACCCACAGGCTGGAGTCTAAAAATAATAAGACTTTCCATCCAAGCCCTCTGCCACTTGCACAAAATGTGCCTCAGTTTGCACACAATAAGACTGCAACTTAGCAAGAAGGTTATTTGGAGATAAAAGAAGTCGTGGTAGCCGGGCGCACGCCTTTAATCCCAGCACTTGGGAGGCAGAGACAGGTTCAGTAACATACAGGGCATAGAGCAAACAAAACACTCGTGCAAACATAAAAATACCCCAGCAGTGTAGCTAGCAGGAAATCTGCCCCAGGGCGTAGCATAACGATCACAATCTGTAGGTTTTGCAGGAAGAAAGGAAGCAGTGACTTGAATGGTCAGAAACAAAAACAACTATGAAAAAGCCATCTGTAGTGGGCTTTGGAGAAGGAACAAGACAACAGAGGAAGATTTGCCCAAACTGCAATGGCTGTAGGAGTAGAGTCAAGAATAGAGACGACATACAAAGTGAAGAACTAGACGGCAGTGTGCGCGGCCAGCTGAACCCTCAAGCCTTCAGTAGCTCCATTCAGTGTGCACTGGGGACTTGGCGATAGATTCCTCAAGCCCTTGAAATCCACTCGGACACACAATCCACTAGGCCACAGCCTCTCCTATCTGCCCGCAGCTGAATGTGGGCTTACAGAGGGTGGTTAATTTTCAAGACTGTCTCCTCACCCAGAGCTTTTCATAACATTAAAGTGCATGTCTATCCATTTGATTAGATTTTAATACCTGTCAGGCCAAGACTAACTTCAAATGTTCTTAGGAAAGTATGATTAAAGGCGTGTGCTTCACCGCAGAGAACTAACCATGGACTGTAGAGAGATCTCTCTACTGAAATACAGCAAATCTATACCCGCCGGAAGAGTCTCAGCTCCAGACTGCCACAACCCCTGTCTTCTTCTGCTAAGTGGTTCATTGTTTCAGTTAAATTAGCCCATAGTCCATATATTTAAACCCTCTTTATACAGAAAATGTTTTTATGCTGAGCGTAATTGTTATTTAAATTATTTAGACAGCTACGATACTGATGTTTGGCTGTGGCCCGAAATACACCAGAAGTTTAAAAAGGTGGAATTTGTTATGACCCAATAACCACATGCTTTAGAATTTATACATAGATCCTTGGTCTATGTGGCCTGAGAAGCACGTATGTGTTTGAAGTGGATAGTTGATTGTCTCTGAGAACATGAACAATCTGCCTGCCTCCGACAATAGAGACGTATCAACTTCAGACTGTTCAGACTGGGATTACTCCCTCCTGTGGAGATGCGGGTATGACCTGTGTCACTAGACTTGTGGTCGCACTCTTGCCTGATGCAGTAATCCGTCAGAAGGCACAAGCTACATGAAGTCTCCAGTGTGACTCTGTGTGTATCACTCTCCACTAAACATGCTTTTTGTTGTGGCCACCTCAGAAACCTGGGTTATTTTACAATGTTTGGCTAAAATGACTAGAATTTTACATGCCTTAACTTTTCGAAACATTTTTGTGAAGGTATTAAGATTGTACAGTACTTGGGCAACTTTCTTCCTATTGCATATAGATAGCTTAATATTCACTACAGTGTGTATGGCCAGAAGCATGCTGGGGATAGTGTGCAGGAAATGGATCAGGCATGATGATGCATGTCTTTGACCCCAGCATTCAGGAGGCAGAGGCAGGTGGCTCTTTATAAACTCAGGGACAGCCTGGTCTACAGAGCAAGTCCAGGCTAGACAGGGATAGGCGGTGGGGCCCAGACTAAACACTCAAAAGCTTAGTGTGTGTTCTGAGAGTAAATGGGAGGTTACTGAAAAGAAAGTCGACTAATAGTAAATATGACCAAAAACCTTCAAACAGCGCACAACTTCCTGAGCGACCACAAGAGCACTGGAGAAGAGCAAGTCTGCCAGGATCTCCCTGAAACTAAGTCTCTGGAAGAGCCCACCGCAAATACAAACACGTCTCTTAGCACTTCTTCCAGACAGAGCTCTAAGAAAGCAAAAGTACACTGGAAGTGCTGATGCCCTCCTAGAAGCCAGGCATCGAAGAACCTTGGCTACTGAAGGTTCTTAGATGCCAGAAGCTGTCCTTAACCAACTGGAGAAAATATAATTCAACAGAGTCATCACTATCCTGAAACTGAATGGCTTCATTAGCTAAAGTCAACATGTACATCAGTAGGTCACATGACCGTAAATGCTAGAGGCTGGAACCAGGGGCAGGTCATGAATCAAGAAGCCAGAACCTGTGACACACGACAGACGGCTTGTGCAGAAAGCTTGACTTAACAAACCCCTATTTCATAAACAATGAGGTTCAACTGTGTAAACAAGGTTGTAGCACGAATATATTAAAACGCTTAGGAGAATAGGGCTTGCAAGCATCTCAGAGACATCTATTTACATATGGAGGAGAAAGTAAATGTTTGCTGAATAAATTAACTAAGGAATGAATATGGATAATTAATGTACTAATTACAAATCAGTAATGTTTGTTATGACACATAACTTACAAACCTCTAAGAAGTGACAGTATGAATTAAGAATGAATGAAACATGTCCAAATTTACCTTGTTTCTGAAATGTGATGAGAAGGCACTTTTAGTTTACATTTTATGTTTGAAATGTCAATTTTTCAAGATATCATTTTGGGCCCTTGAAGTTCCCAAAGTGGGTCTCCTTTGACAGTACTCCGCACGGTGTTATTTACAATGGTGTACTATGTGAATCTTCTCTGAAGGATGGCTCTACTGGCCTTCTCATGGGGAGGTACAAAATCCATGACGGAGCTTTTAAAATGGTGCAAGTCGAGAAAATAGTTTCCTTGGGGCTGGAGAGATGGCTCAGCGGTTAAGAGCATTGCCTGCTCTTTCAAAGGTCCTGAGTTCAATTCCCAGCAACCACATGGTGGCTCACAACCATCTGTAATGAGGCCTGGTGCCCTCTTCTGGCCTGCAGGGGTACGTGTAGGCAGAACATTGTACACATAATAAATAAATAAATAAATATTAAAAAAAAAAAAAAGAAAATAGTTTCCTATGCCCCGTAGCTTCACGACTCAGCCTCACTGAGGAACAACTTCAAATACCCTGTTCCTTGGGGGCAAGGGTTTCTTGAAAATCACATGTGGCCCCAGATGACAGACTAGACCATCAGGAGCCTCGTGCACAGCACGTACCCACACCAGTGCTGCGGGAATATACAGCCATACAGCCATCCCTGATGCTGCCCCCAACTTAATGAACCCATGACACCTTTATCCACTCTGAATTCTGGCAGGAGAGACAAGGTACATGAGGTCTTGAGTCACTCTCTGATAAACAAATTTTTTTTGTTTTGTTTTTGTTCTGGAACGTTCAGAAATCTGGGAAACTATGGTTCAAAAGACAGTCATTTGGAAGCTTGGAGATACAGTTCCCAGACAGGGCTCTGCAGCTCCTTGCTTAGTCTAACCCTTTAGGCTCACTATCTCTGTCTTCACAGTTAGCTATGCCCCTCATTCAGAAACTCTGGAGTTACACAAATGAAAAGACAGTGTTAAAGACAGTGTTGGTGTTGTTTGTTTGAGTTTTGCTTGTCTTGAGACAAGGCCTTGCTATACAGCCCTGGCTGGCCTGGAATTAGCTATGTAGCCCAGTTGGCCTCAAACTTGTTGCAATCCTCCTGCCTCTGCCTCTGGAGTGCCAGGATTACAGATGTGTGCCCATGAGGACTGGCGATGAACACAGACAATGACTGGAGTGCCACCTGACCATCGAAGTGACAGCAGTTCCAGACTACAACACTGTCTATCAAGACACGAAGTAGAAGCACGGCCCTCATAGTGACGTGAACAATCCAACAAATCTGAGATGGGGTCGGGAAGAAAGCAGCCCCTTCCTTGCATGCCACAGTGCGGTAATAGTGGCACCTTGGATGGATTTACTCACACCAGCAACAGAACAAGAGCTGGTTAATCAGAGCTTCCCCCTGGGGCCCGCCAGGTGAGTTTACCCTAGGAAAACCCAATCCGGCAGGCCGAGCACAGTACCTCAGGTGAGGTGGCTGGGGTAGACAATTGGACATTGTTTGGGACAACAATGCTTTCTATCTATATCCGAGTACAATCTGCAAAGTTAATTTCTGCATCCCTTCACACAGGGCATGCGAACGTGTGTATCCTGCATGTCTCCAACCCCCACCACAGCATTATAACTGAAAAAGCACTTATCTACAGGAAACCGATGTGGGCTATCATAACAACACCGAGTACATTTAATTAATCACGCTTCCTTTGATATAAATGCCCATCTATGGTCACGGAGAGAACTGAACTGAATGAATACCAATATGATGACCAATAAGAACAGCCTAAACATTAGTGTTATACCAAGGAAAGCTTTGCTGAATTGAATGAAAATATTTTACAAAATTAAAATGCTCACTTGTTTCATTAGAAAATTTAAGATTACTTTAAATCTTGAATTTTAAACTCAAATACTTCAATGTAGTTACTTTTTGCATTATATTTAAGATTTAAAGACACAAGATTTTAATCATTCTGTGTACTGTGCAGTAAGAAAACAATTTACTTACTTCTGGATACTCTCACAAGCTCTGATACATTGAAGACTCCGGATTTTACAAAACTGTCCTCGAGGTATCCTGAAAACAAACATCAAAGGAAGACATCAGCAGAAGCAGGGAGCAAAGCGCCAGTTAAATTCTAGAATTCATTCCCTTTCAGACAAGAACAAATACCAGGGACGCCTATTCTAAAGACAAGTATGAGCAGAACCCGAATATAAACTGACTCTGCTTTTCAAAGGTAAGAAGTATAAAAAGGCATAAATAGCCTGTGGAATTCCCCATCAACTTTCCAAGTTTGGAATTGGTGGGATCATATTTGCCATGGCGGTCACATGGGGTTAGGAAGGTTGGGATGCACTCTGACTACATCTCATTCTGCAGGATGAGTGCACCTGGAAGGCCACAGTCTACCATCTCCAAAAAGGGGAGGGTAGAAAGAGAAAGGAAAACTACAACCACAATTAGCACCTTGTTGGAAATGCTTCAAAGACCTCTCAAAACCACCATTCTCTCACAAATCCTTCCGGGGTCACAGAAAAGTGAGCCATTGCTACCAGAGTTGCCAGCCTTGTTCCGGTGTCTCTCAGTAGAAAAGCAAAACCTAGGACACAGTAAATCCTTCTATGCACCAACCTCCATCTGTTTTCTTTGTCCATTTTTAGTGTCTTCCTTACTTTTCCTACTACTGGATCCTCTACCCATGTTTTCTTTCAAGAACTAGATGTCTGTTCATCAGATGGCAGTGAATTCAGGCCTTCGGGGTCCACATACAAGCGCAGGGCCCGCAGTGGTCAAGGTCCCCAGTTCAGGATCCTGAGGAAACCCTAGCCTGTTTGGTTTCATCTCACAGTGTTCAGAAGTTTTAAAATTCTTATTTCTATCAAGACTGCAATCATGGAAAGCAAAAAAGTCTGAAATACCCACAGAGGAAATGCCCCAGAGTCTCAGAATCTGTGATGAGATAGGACTTAAAACACAACTTTATAGCTGACCAAGGGTCAGATTCAGGCCCGAGATATGATGCGGAACCATCAAGTCAGAGATGTGGGAGGCAAATGCCAGCCACAGTACGCTCGTTATGGGATGTTGGCTATGTAAGTGTATCTTATTTTGTTTCAGGGCCCTTGTCTGTAAATGAGAGATACAAAATTCATAGAGTTACTATCTACCTCACAGAGTTATTATCCATTCAAGGTAAGGTAAAACGTTAAACTCAGGGTAGAAGCATACAAAGTAGAGAAAACCAATAATCCCAGCACACGGGAGGCAGAAACAGAACAGAAATGGATACCCTGTGAGCTGTGACATAAGGAGACCCTGCCCCACAACAATGCTTAACGCTAGCTGCATGTGACCACTACATTAACATCCAGCATAGCCAAACCCTGAGCTCCCGTGGAACTGTGCACAGCCTTGAATCATATAAGTTGCAAAACTTTTCTTAGAAAATTTAGCACCCATAGTGTCTAAAAGTAAAATTGCTGCACAGGCACCAGTGGTGTGAGAAGCCACGCATGGGGGAGCATGGCTTCACACTCAACGTGTTCACCCTTTAGAAAGAACAGAGAAGAAGTACAAGGTCTCATTTGATGATGAAGCCTAAATCTCAAATTTAGTCAGAACTCTGGAAATACATTCATACACACACGCATGTACACACACACACACACACACACACACACACACACACACATATTTCTATGAGAATAATAAAATGTCTCTAGCTGATGCAATTCTATTGTAGGAAACTGTCTGAGCAATGAGTTCTTCACCAGGCTGAATTTGTTTCAGAGATTATTGAGAAGTGACTGTGCAACCAGTACTCTTAAAGACGTTAAAAGTAATAAATGCAAAAAAACATGACAATTGATTCTATTTTCCTAGATGGAAACAAAGGTGCTTTAATGTTCTAGGACCCTGGAGTTTTCGCTGTTTTGTTGGCTTTAAAGAGCAGCTTATTAAACTTTATTTTATGGACAGCAAACGTATTTAATATGTCAAGCAGACACTCATCCGTTATTTAGCATCTCTGGAGCCCATACACTGTTTTCCTCTGCAGGTCCTGGCTGCAAGTCCCTCTCTTTGTACATGCTGCCTTCAATACTCAAGGTCCAACTGAATGGCCACACGTTCTGAGAAACCATCCCCCACCCCATCCCGTTTCCTCTGACTCTCTGACCAAGCTAACCCCTATCCTCTGTGCTCACATCACTTCTACTTAGTCCCAATTTTACATTTCACACATTCAGATTTTCCAAGATACTAATTTTCAAGTATATAAATTCTTCATTGGATTATCAGCCCCTTTATTTAAGGGAGTAACTAGGTTTTGTTTTACTCGATATCTCCCTCAGCAACTGAATCATTGCCTATAGAGAGAGTAACACAGTACATATTTTAAAATTCAGCTTTTAAAACCAAGGTCATAAATTAACAGCTTAGTAAACTTATAACAAGATAGCTATAGCTGGCATAAAATCGATGGATAATTGCACTGGCTACATCACTCCCTTGAACATGTTTGGGTCCCAAAACATCTATAAATGTGGCCCAATACATTTACAGATGACATGTTACAATGTCATAAGTTTGGACTCTGGGTACAATATGAAAAGTAACAATTCGGATCAGATTATTAGTCCTGGTTCTGTTGTATTTTAATGTGTAATTTTGAGCATATAGTACAAATTAATAGCCAAAAATTCAAATAGGATGATAAAAATGCTTGCAAAATAAATTTATGTGAGAAGGCTACTTAGCTGGCTCAGTAGGTAGTGTCACTTGTCCCCAAGCCTGGCAACCTGAGTCTCATCCCCAGGTCCGACACAGTGGAAGCAGAGAACTAAGTTGTCCTCTAACCTTGATGGGTATGTGTGTGTGCATGTATACACACACACAAATAATTTAAAATTGATGAATGAATAAGAGAATACGAGTTTTACAGTATATGTAATACACAATGTCTCAAAATATAAGTATCATCTTAAGTTGATTCCATGAGTAGTTAAGGCTTCTTAGTCACATGGATTAGGACAGGTGGCATGGGGACACTCTAAGCCTAATCACAAAGGAGGGATGAACTACCTTAATTCTAATTTATACAGGAAAATAGGCATTCAAACACAAAATGATGATGATTCCGTAGTGATACGTGATAAGAAATTGAAATCTATAAGGAAAAATGAAAGATTTGTTTTTTACCAAAACTATGAAAAATAATGGAACTATATCAGAACCCAGTTGATAAAATGTAACCCACAGCACCCACTGGGCTCTGCTCACAGAGAGATCTCTATGGGCACGTTCATAGAGAGAAACAAGTGAAGGGAACATGTCCAAACAGCAATAATAATGCCTACTGACAATAATCCAAATGGCTGGTGGTGGGTGGGAAGCAGGTGATGGGTAGCTGAGTTTTGTAGTGGCACTTTTTGTGTCTTTGCACATAGCATAACCTTTGCAACGGACAGGAGTCACCTAAGACAGGCACAGAAAAGGAATGAATGACCTAGCTCTTGGACCACTAATAGTACTTGCTCAAGTAGGCAGAGGACAAATACTTGGGCAAATAGTTGGGAAGGATCTTTCTCACAGTGGGTCCAGAATCTTGCAATAATACAGTCGGAAATTCAGCAAAACACCATGGAACTGCTAAGGCCATAAAGCCCATTGTAGCCTCCTGGTTATGCAGACTTACAGAGGCACAGTTTCCCATGCTACACGGTCCACTGTAAATCTCAACAGCTAATGCAAAGGCTAAATATCCTGAAGTAATTTGGAGAGATTCAGAGTAAACTCATTTCATGTACCAAAGGAAATGTGCCCGTCTTTGAGGCAGAGCAGCTGCTTAATGGTTATAGAGCAATATCACACAGCAGCATCAGCCAGGAGACAAGGAGAACTCCACATTTGGGTAATGCTGTGTTTACATACATCTCTGCTCTTTAAGAAGAAAAAATTGGGTGGGAAATAAAGAGCTCCACAAGCAGAAAAGTCTCAAAGGCAATATCAAATTATATTATTTTACTTCTTTTTTATTTTCCTCTAACAAAGCAACAGTAAATCACTACTCAGAAGTTAATACAGTGTTTAACCTCCTTTACAAACAATAACAGAAGGGACACAATGGCATATCTGTTAATATCTCAAATTATAATCAGCACCATTTAAATGTTAAGCAACATTTACATAGAAAATCCAAGGGAAGAATGATAACACTCATTTTTATGGTCTACTGTGTTCTATTCTTGAAATAAAAAAAAAAAGCCCCAGGGAAAGCAGTTATTAAATTCATGAGAGCTGGCTTCAAGTATCTGAAGGACTGTTAACGTAGATGGGAGATCAGACTTCTGAGTAAATCCAGGAGCTGTTTCTTGGCTCCATAAACCAACAGATCCTCCCATCCAATGAGAAAAGTCCTAAAAAGCAATGAGACTGCAGTGTCAATACTAACCAGCAGATGCCCAATGACTATACTAAAAACCTTTAAAACCACACTGTGGCAAGAGCCATGACTTAGTATTGCCAACATTTAAGGGATGAGGGACTTTCTCTCTCCAGAGATGGAAAGCTTCCTGCTACTTCTGAACACCACTACTGGACACGAGGATTCTCACTTTGGGTTAAAAACAAAAGCAAACAAACAAAAACTTAACAAAAGGCCCTCAGATTCCACTTTCTTCTGTGTTTATTCTCCTGTGTTACTTGCCTTGTACTGTTCTTTCAGAGAAGAAATGATGGCACAAGACACCTACCAGCTACACCTACCAGCTACACCTAGCCAGCTACACCTACCAGCTACACCTACCAGCTACACCTACCAGCTACACCTACCAGCTACACCTAGTCAGCTATATCTACCAGCTACACCTACCAGCTACACCTAGCCAGCTACACCTAGCCAGTTACACCTACCAGCTACACCTACCAGCTACACCTACCAGCTACACCTAGCCAGCTACACCTAGCCTGCTACACCTAGTCAGCTATATCTACCAGCTACACCTACCAGCTACACCTACCAGCTACACCTACCAGCTACACCTAGTCAGCTATATCTACCAGCTACACCTACC